TATTTTACTTACAGCCTTTCTGTAGGTAATTTGTCCAGAATTTTCTAATGAAAGGATGTAGAATTTTGTTGAATTTTTTTACTACATTTATTGAGATGGTTTTGTGATTTTATCCTCTATTTACTTACTTGGTATATTATGTTGTTTGATTTATATATGCTGAATTGCCCTTGTATTCCTATAACAAATTTGATGTGATCATGGTGGAGGAAAGTTTCTCACATTCCGTGGATTCAGTTGGATGCTTTGAGAATCTTTGTATTTGTTTTCATTAGGGGGTATGGTTCCGTAAAAGTTTTCTTTCTTACTTTGCCTTTGTTTGATTTTTTTTAAGTTAACTCAAGACTTATAAAACGAGTTTAGGATTCTCCCCCGGCTTCCTGGTTTTTGGTTCAGTATGAGAAGCACCAGCTTCAGGTCTTCATTAGAAGCCTGATAAAATTCAGTGGTGAAGCTGTCTATTCTTGGGATTTTTGTTTGGGGAATTATTCCTTCAACCTCATGACTTGACAAAGGTCTGTGTAGATTTTCTATACTCTTGAGTTTCACCTTTGGCAGATCATAGGTGTCCAGAAACTTAATCAACGTGTTCTAGATTATACAACTTCTAGCTTGGTGTTGACCACGATGGCCTCTAATGAGCCTCCGTGTTCCGTGGTATCAGCATTTTGTCTATTTCTGCTATAATCTTTATTATGTTTCCCTTGTGCTGGTTTGGGTTTGGTTTACTGTTTTTCTTTTTTCTGAGCTTCTGAAATGATTCATTACTTTGGTTATTTGAACAGATTTTTTCGTGATCTATTTTGTTACTTGCTGTTACCAACCCCCCTCTGAACACTGTTTTTGCTGTGTTTTAGGAGTCTTAGCTTTTTGTGTTTCCATTTTCATTTGTTCTGAGAAAGTCTAGCTCTTGCCTTTGGTTTCTTCAGTGGCCAACGTGCATCAAAGTTGTGCTGCCAGTTTCTGTTTGACTATTTTCCAAAATTTCTCTGCTACTGATTTCTAGTTTTATTCTGTTACAATCAGAAAAGACACAGGATGCTAACTTCAGTCATTTTGAATTTAATGGATTAGTTCCATGACCTCACACATGTTCCACTCTGAAGAATAGTCCACATAAAAGAATATGGATTCTGTAGGTGCTGGCTACAACATTCTCGGAATAATCCCACGATGGAGATTAATGCTAATGTCTCCTCGAGGCCTTTGTCTGGATGACTGGTTCATGAAAGCGTGGTGTTAAAGGCCCTGGTGATCACTGTATTGAAGCTCACTTCTCTTCAGTCTAATAGTGTTTATTTTATAAAACCGGGCCATCTGGCATCGAGAGGACATCTTTATAACCATCATATCTTCTCGTTGGCTCGGCTCCTTCTTAGGAAGGTCAGTCTCTTCCGGTTTCTCCTGATCCTCCATTGCCTGGAGGTTCCTGACTCAAACACAGACGTACATAGCACTCCCAGGTCCTTGAATGCTGAAGGAGGCCCTTTGACAGGTGCACTGGAAAGCAGGCATCAGTGGCTGGATTTGGCTGAGGCTTGTGCATCCTACCATGGACTGCATGAGACCAGCTGCACTATCGCCTGGGGAAGCTTCTTGAGCTCTGCACGCTTCCACTCTGGGGGCTGAACGCCCAACACGTTACTTGTTTGCTCTGTGCACTCTCTAAGTGAAACAGGAGGAAGGGTGTGGAGAAGGATCGCCTTGATGACAAAGGAACTGGAATCTGGGTCTTTGCAGAGCACTGTGATACTGTGTATGTAATTCCACTGAACTCTTTTCTCCAGAAATCAGACTGCTAATCACAAAGGGATGAAGAAAGGCCCAAGTGCAGACAGCCCCCACTCCGCTCCACTGTCACACTGCTCTACTGTTTCAAGAGGGACTTTATGGGCCATGAGGACATTTAGTTCATGTGTCAGGGAGACTAGGTGGTGGCATTCTGCAACCATGTCGCTAAAGATGTTAGTGTGGGATCAGTTACAGCAGGTGAAAATTACGTATCTGTGCTCCCTAAATAAGGTAAACATACTAGTACCGAATGCCTCCAGGGAAGTGTGAACTTCGAAGAATAAGCTGTAAGTCTGATTACTGCAGGGTGAGGGAGAGCAAGTCTTCTTTAAGGGCAGGACTCTAGACAGGCTGACGAGACTCCAGTGGGAGAACTTGCACCGAGGGGCATCTGGGTACAAATGCTTGATTAGGTAGACCTTAATAGACTGACAGAACACATGAAATTTGGTGAGGGGGTATGGGAGAGTGTGGAAGAGGAAGGGGGGTCTAAATTTGATTAACATCTATTATATGAAATGCACAAACCTCAATAAAAATATACATTAAAAACTGTAAGCCATTAACCATCCAGCCTCAATTTGACCAAGGGTCAGGACCATCCCCTAAAACACCCCTGGAACTGGCAGCGAACTGTTGCTGAGCGTGTGTTTGAGTCATGTTGCAGGTCTTAGCATGTCTTACAAAACTGCAATATATAAAACAGCAAGAACAGATGGCGGTCTAGATAGGCGTGTGAAGACATCTGTGTTAAAAGCAGTGCTTCGAATCGGTGTGGGAGGATAAAATTCAGAAAATTAAATTTTAGTATTTTTGGCATTTGTTGTTTCTTAAAAATAATAGTTTCCATTTTGTTTTATAGTGACCTTTACTCCCCCTCTTGGTGGTCCAGGACACTTTCTGATAGTGATATTGCACCAAGATGCCGTGGATGGTCAGAGGTGAGGGACTGTCAGGGCAATTCAGTCAAACGTTTGAGAGTGTACTGTCCTGGGTGTCTTTGAGGTCACAGATGGTGGAGAAACAGGAAAAATAAAGAGAAAAACAGTTCATTTTTAGTTTCAGATTTTGCTGGGAATCCATGAAGTTTCCTAAGGAATCTCTTTTTACTTAGGTTTTAGACTTTTTTTTGTTAAACTAAGCCATTTTCCCCCCATAATCTGTTGCTGGCCTCTAGTTACATGTCCAATTGTGGGTTTTAATCCAAACGATTCATACATTTTCTTTTTGTATAGACCTCTTTATTTATAAATTTAGAACAGTTCACGAATTTGGGTGTCATCATTGCACAGGGCCCATGTCAACCTTCTCTGTAACATTCCAATCTTACATGTGCCGCAGAAGTGAGCACTACAATTTATTTCACAGGCACTGCTAACATAGACCCCTAAAGGTGAAAATTTAAATGTGCTTATCTTCTAAACACAGTGTTTGTTCATTATCATTTGTGTCTATTGAACTGTATGTCTAAACCTGCCTAAGTCTGTTCCCGGGCTCCATGGAGACTGAGCCCAGGTGTGCTGCTCTTAGGAGAACTGTCTAAGTGTCAGCATGCACTTACACACTGGCATTCTGTGTTGCAGTCTGCTATCCTGGTCTCATAAAGGCTGGGATGGTTTAAATCAGCTTCTGGAGCATTGGTCAAATGCTCACCTTCCTCTGGACCCGAAAAGGAGGGGAAATTTACCCAGCAGAGGTCGGAAAGAAGACCTCACTAAAACCCGGTTAGGACTGGTGCGTGTGAAGTTTGGAAAAACGACTGGAGCTGTTCCTGGTTAGAGCAAGCCAAGAGCTGCTTGGCTTCATGTGTGATGCTATGTTGTAATGCATGCTTTCCCGCTGTGAGACGATTTCATTTTAGTGATTAATTCTTAGCCAAATATATTTGCATATTTTAACAGTCAAGGAATATTTGTTAAAAAAAAAAAAAGCTCTTGTTTGTGGATAACAGCCAGTAGACATTAGAAAGACTTTTCCAGAACAAATGCCCTGTCTTTTCTACCCTGTATGAATTAAAAAGCTCAGCCAGTGATTGTTTTAAATTATAGGATCTAATCTCATTGCTGGGCAGTCACATAATTACCACGTTCTTATGTGCCGCTCACTAATTTTCCATTTGTAATGTGTCTATTTTGGAACGAGAGGAGGAACATACAGGATTCTAAAACAGGAAGAGGAATAAGGATAAAAATAGAAAACGTTCCGGCCAAGAAGAATCAAAGTGCTCTGATTTTAGGTCCCTTCTGTCCGGGTGTGTGTCACAGTCTTCTGGGAGATGACAGCAGACTGTGGTCTCCACAGAATGATGCTGGTGTTTTAAGTGAGGGGGGGCCTTGGTAACAACACTGAGTCTGATATAATCAGGTAGAACAGGAAGATAGATGCTCAGTCCTCAAGGTCAACGGAGCTGCTCTGTCTTTGTTCTTTCTGGGAAGCTCATCACATCAGGCCTGCCCATCTTGTGGATAAATGCGTAATTTTGCTGGCTTTAAGTACACAAGTTTCCTACATGAATCTTATGAAACAAATCAGGATTGTTAAATAACTAAAACCATTTGATATTGTAAATGCAAACATCATGAAAACATACCAGGTCTTTAAGAAGAACGTGTGCCACGAGCCAATTTGACGGGAGGTGGTGTAGGAAGCCAGGAGAGCAGATCCTTCTGCCTTTCCATGTCACTCATCTTGTGGTGTCCTCCCCATTGATGGACACAGTGCTCCATGTGGCTTCCTATTACCCTTTATTTGCAGATCCCAGTGTCCTCTTCCCACATAGGGTGTTAAAGGAGAGCTTCATGGCATCATGCTATTTTCCAGAGGTGCCTCAGAGCCAGAAATAGTTTGTTTTAGGCATTGGGCTTGGCACTTTGATGGCTTGTCATTGAAGTGACCTTGATTTCACAACTGGGGAAACTGAGGCACATCATTTCACTGAGCTTCATAAGGTCACATAAGTAGCAAGTGGCAGGGTTGATGCAGGACTTGCCCAGTGGTTGCTAAGGTCTCTGGCGCTGCATGATATTGCCACTGGGATTGTGACCGGTGCTCATTAAGCTATAGAAGGATTGGGCCTGCAGGATTCTGTGGGTGGTCACAGGTGGTTCGGTGTGAAGAGATGATGATGGATCATCTGTCACTGATGCCTTTGGAAGTTCATGGCTCATTGATCTGAGCATCATTAATCCCTTGAGATAAACTGGTTTCACCAATAACAGAAATTGTCTTCAAGTCACCAGCCATACCATTAAGCGTCATGGTTCTAGTAAAAATTTATTATTCATGAGAAAGAAAAATGGACAAAATTGAAATTCTAACATGTATCAAGTAACAGTTACAGAAAAGGATGGCTGTGGGGGAGGGGAGGAAGGCTTTCCTTTACTAAGATTTATTTTATGTTTTTAAATTTATGTGTAACTGTATGTGCCCATGTGTTTGTATGTGTACATGAGTGAAAATGCCCTGAGACCAGGAGAGGGCATCTAATCCCCTGGAACTGGAGTTACAGGCAGTTGTGAGCCACCACTTGGAAGCTGGGAACCAGACTCAGGTTTTCTGAAAGAGCAACAAGTGTTCTTAACCACTGAGCCATCACTACAGCCCCCAGAAGTTTCTCAAAAAGCATAAAAATGTAAAGATGTAAAATTATGCACAGTCCTACTGGGTAGGAGATAGAGAATACCAAACATTTCAATTGTGCAGTGATTAGTTTTTAAAACCTTTCTTAAAACTACGTTTATTAATGTGTGTATGTGTGTGTGTGTGTGTGTGTGTGTGTGTGTGGTGGCATGTGGGTGCCACAGGTTATGTGTAGCAATCAGAGGACAAATTGTACGAGTCAGCTCTTTCCTTTCACCATGTGGGTCCCAAGGATTGAACTCAGGTCATTGGACTTGGTGGCAAGTGCTTGACCTGCTGAGCCATCTCACTAGCTCAAGGCTTAGCTTTAACAGTCAATTCTGCACAATCTAGAAGTGCCTGGGAAGAGAGTCTCAATGAAGCATTAGGTCAGGCTGAGCTGTGGGAAAGTCTGGGGTGGGTTACTTGATCACGTTATGTGACGTGGGGAGACCCACCCACTGTGGCACCATTCCTTAGGCAGAGAATTCTGAACTGTATAATGTAGAGTGAAGACAGTGAGCTGAGCATCAGTCAGCATGCATATGTTAACTCATTGCTGTGTGCGACTGTGGATGTCATGTGACCAGCTGCTCAGGCTCCTGCTGCTGTGACTTCTTGGCCAAGATGAATGGAACCTGGAGCTATAATAAGCCCTTTCCCCTTAAGTTGCTTTTGTGACAGCGACAGATCAGGAACTAAGATGTGTTACCTGTGAAGAATTAGGTATCATACTCCTGCAGCTTTCGGTAGCATTGCTGAGCCATCGGATGAGGAGAAAGAGCCCCAGAGTCCCTAGAATAAAAGAGTTATGGAGTCCGAGAGAAGAACAAGTATAGACCAAGCTGTTCTCAGAAAAAGAAAGCCCCACGGTCACCTACACAGCTTATCCTCAGGTTGAAAACAAGGGTTAAAGAAGTCAACCAGTAATGCCGAGTTGTGTATCCCCCTTCAATCTCTGGCTTTCTGCCTCATATATTGGATCTCAAATAGTGTATGCAGCATATACGCAAATATATATATATTTATGGTTGCAGTCTATGATTGATTGCTCATGTATGTAAATATTATAATAAGCTTAGTAATTTTAAATACAGTTCATTTCGTTGGAGATTCATTTACCTTCTCTGGTTGTTTTCATCCTAGTTTTTTGACATGACTGGACATACGGTCTACATCTCCATATCGTTATTTCTGACTCGCTGGCTTCTTTCACATGGAAGTATTCTTACTGACACGTAGCTGAATTTTGTTTCTGAGTAATTCTGCCAATCCTTGCCCTTAGAATGGGCAAATCTATCTACTTTTAATGTATTTACTGCTGGAATGCTCTAACCATTGTGTTCCAGTGCTTTATGTGTTTTGTGGGGCTTTATTTCTTCATTTGTGTGTTTTTATGTTAATTGGATGTATCACAGCATGGCACTGAGTTAACTCAGTTCCCTGGGAAATTATAGTTAACATCTTATGTAATCGCAGCTTGGTTCTCATGACTCTGGAGGTGACGTTTTGTGGCGCCCCTTTGTTTTTCCTTTGGAGAACCCCCAACCTTACAGAGTGAAAACGTCTACACTCAGCTTTACCATTACTGTTCTATGAAATTGCTTTTAAATTTTTTAACCTTGGGAATATTCATGCACGTGTACAATGAAGTATGGCCATACTTCCCTCTTTAGCGGACCCCACCTTCCTTAACACATCTCCTCAGCTTCATGCCAACCAGACAGAAGAGAGTTATGACCTAAGAAGCACGTTTGCATGTGCAGAACTGACTTCCCTGCAGCCAGCACGGTCGCTCCCTTTGTTCCTCTACTGGGTCTGTCACCTCAGCTCTAGACTCCGTCCAGCACCTCGTAAGCGTGAATGTCATGGACAATTCTCTGATGTTTTGCCTGTCTGAGAATGTAGTGCTTTATGCTTTACTGTTGCAGGACAGAAATCCGTGGTGTAGGATTCCTGGGTGATAGTCTTTCTCTTTCTGAATTTTGAATATCATATTCCACTGTTTTCTGCCCTCCACGAGAAGCAAGTTGCTTGATCTAGGTGCTCAGTGCTCATGCGCATGGTGACTCATATCTTTCTTCTACTTATAATGTTTTTCTGTGCCTCTGATGTTCTGATTATGATTGTATTTTACTTCATATCTGCTTAAAACTTTCCTAGATTTTATTGAGTTCCAGAATGTTTTTCATAAAATGAGATGTTTTCAGGCATTCTTTTAATTTACATGCACATGCGTTTGACATACATGCATCTCGTTAGCATGTGTGTGGGTATACGCGTGTACATGTGTATGTGAGTGTGTGTACATGTGTGTGGAGGCCTGAAGCTGATATTCTTACCAACTTTATTGAGGTCGAGTCTCTTGCTGATTTCAGAGCTTGGGAAATCCGCCTAGTCAGCCTGCCTGGGGGATCCCTTGTCTCTGCCTTCAGAGTTCTAGCATTCCATGCGGGTCATCAGGCCTGTCTGGCTTTTACCTGGGATCTGGGGACACAAGTCAGGCCTCCTTCCTTTTCTGGCGCTGTTTCTCTTTACTGGTTTTCCCTTTCCTCCTTTCTTGCGTCTTGAGACGTCCGTTGCACGCACATCGTGACACTTAATGGTTCCCCAGATTTCGGTGAGCTCTGTTCATTTTTATTTATCTTTTAAAAAGTTCTGTGCTTCAGACTGGACAATATAAACTCACTTGCCTGATTTTCACTTTTCCCAATGCAAATTACTGTGGCGTGC